GAGTTGGGCCTCGTGTGAAAACTGCGTCATCTAAGCCAACCCATTCTGGAGGTGAATTCTGGGATGACTCTGGGGTCCTGCATCCACATTCGTGTCTCTTCCTTCCCTGTGTCCCAGGAGGGTGGGATATGCTTTAATGAACCTCTGGGCTGAAAGTGTCTAATTCTCTAAGCTTAATGACAGTCCAGAATGGAATTCTCTGTTTTAGAAGCTCTGGAGTTTACACCTTTTGTTAAGTAGGGATCAAAAGCTAGAATTAGGGCCAGGTGAGGTCACGCCTGTGATTCCAGCACTTTGGGAGACTGAGGAGAGTGGATCACTTGAGGTCAGGAGATGGAGACCAGCCTGGCCAACATAGTGAAACCCTGTCTCTACCAAAAAATACAAAAATTAGCTGGGCATGGTGGTGCGCACCTGTAGTCCCACCTACTCGGGAGGCTGAGGTGGGAGAATTACTGGAACTTGGGAGGCAGAGGTTGCAGTGAGCCAAGATCACGCCACGGCACTCCAGTCTGGGTGACAGAATGAGAGCTTGTCTCAAAAAAAAAAAAATAAAGCTAGGAGTGAACCAAACATGTATATGTATACTTTTTGGTTTAGATACCTATTGCCTTCTGCGATAGGTATCTATCTGTTGAGTCCTAGGATCTCAAAGGAGTTAAAAGCGGGCCTATTTCTAAACATAAGGCACTACGTAATTGGAAAGTGTGGCTGTTAACACTGTTTCCCTCCTAAAACTCCCTGAGGAGTGGCTCTCAAAGAGGGTGAGTGCTCACCATGCCCATGTGTGTGCTTATGTGTGCATGCACACACGTGCGTGCTGGAGGCAGAGAGGGCAAGACAGAGCAGTGAAGGGGGGTGTTCATCAAGCTGGCAGGTTTGCAGTCTGCGGACTGGAGTTCAAATCCCAGCCCTGACACTCTCTGACTGAGAGCAGGTTTGCAGTCTGTGGACCAGAGTTCAAATCCCAGCCCTAGCACTCTCTGACTGAGGGACCCCATCTGTCCAATGGAGTTGCAAACAGAGCCTTATACCTGGCCAGGCCTGGGAGCTTTCCTTGCTCTTGTCACGGCGGGAGGTAGGTTCATAGCCCTGTAGGATGAGGTGCAGTTTCACAGGGGCTGAGATGGGCCTGGCAATCCAAAGCCTGTGCCATTGGGCACCCCCGCCCTGGGCCTCTCCCATCTCGCTCATGCGGTACCTGCTTAATGCGTTGCTGCACAGGGACTGTCCCAGGGCCACAGCCAGGGTGCAAGCGAGGGGCAGCAGGGACTGAGGGGGAGCCTGATCCCAGCCTCCCTGTGACTCTAACCTCTTCCCTGGGAAGCTGGCCCTTCTCAGTGGTGTGCTCCAGGCACAGCTGTCCAGTGATGCGCACAGTCCACAGGTATTAGGAAACTAAAGGTGCATGGCCAGTACCAGGCACCACATTCTTGCCCAAGGGCCTAAGGCGTGCTCAGTGTGGGATGGCAGGAGGCCAAGCCTGATAAGTAAGGGAGGGGCCAGCACCTGGTCCCGAGAGTCTGACCCCAGGGCCTGGGCTTCTCACCCCTGAATTACTCCCCAACATCATCCCAAACAAGCACTCCCTGGGACCCTGCCACTGCCAGCTCCAATTAGAAGACAAAGACTGGAAGCCCAGCCTGTCCTTAGGGAGCCTGGAATCTGGGAGCAGGGCAGGCATGCAAACAGATCATCACTGCACAGAGCAGACAGGCGAGCAGGGCACTAACAGGAGCCGTCCCATCTGCCTTCCTCCGGGACCAGCTAGCCAAGGCCACGGTGCTTGCCCTTCACCCCATCACAGTTTTGTCCTCTGCCCAGGTGGCTCCAATGAAAGGCCCCAAACTCCTCTTTGTAAAATGACCTCTCATTTCCCGGGGCCTTCCAGCTCTGGCCTTTCCCAAGTCTGAAGTGCAGTTTTTAGGGGTGTGCAGCATCCAGGGGCTCCACGATGGGCATGGGCGCTCCCCTCCGGCAGAGGTTATGCCTGTGAGTCCTCACTGGGCGTTTTCCAGACCCCAGGAGAGACATGAGGCAAATTAATGAGGACCAACAGTATTTGGGTTTCGAGATGTTGACCGCCTGCTTCATTAGGATGTCAAGTTTTAATGATGAGGAAGAAATCGGTAGGAAATGGTTTCTGTGTCTGGGAAGTTTCAAGTGCAGCAGGCAGCAGCCCTGTCCAGACGCGGCTAAGACGTGTGCTCCCCACCCCCACGCAGCAGCTATGCTTACACAGCGTTCAGCCTGGAGGTGCCCTGTCCCTTTGCATCCCTTCTCCCGAGGCCTGGCAGCGGATGGCAGAACCAATACCATCATTTTCACAGGGAAACAAGTTGAGCAGGGTAATTGTGGCATCACGTGGTGCCCTAGTTTTGTTAAATTAGTCCTGTGGGTGGTGAGTGGAAGAGCGACTGAACCCGGAGCCCACTCGGGGAAGCGGGCCCATTTCCCACCAGTCAGACCAGGAACAGATATGGAATCAGGGGCAGGGGCAACTTTTGTCAGCCCTCCCCAAGCTGGCAACCAAGGGGCGCCTCTTCTCTTCACCCCAACCTGGCCTTTAGCAGAGCCTCTTCAAGCAACTGCTCCGCACAGTCACTCATGGAGGTGGTTTTGCAGAGGTGGGGACCTGGCCTCCCTTCTCCATGCCCAAATGTGTCTAGACTAGTGGGATCCAGGGCTCTGTGAACACCCAGATGTTGCAAGCAAGGTTCTGAGGGCATGTGTATCTGGGTGTATTTCCAGGCTTTATCTGTTTTTGCAAAGGGGTTGTGACCCCAAAGCAGCCAAGAGGCACTGGTCAGAACCTCCAGCCCTTTGCTTCATTATTGGACTCCTACTAAGCAACTTTATAATTTCCTACCGCAGTTACTTTCTAGCCAGCATGGGGGAAATTACCTAAACTTCTAAACTGACCAGGCTCATGCAGAATGTATTAGTGATACAGTTGGGCTGTTCTCCCTGGCAGTCACAGACATGAGTTATTCTGGGTTGGAACATGCCAGCAATGCAGAGGGTACTATCAGATTATTTCATTGATGTATAAGGAGGAAAAAGGAAACTTCAGTTCCTTTTGAACATGGTAATAGTTAAAGCTTATTTGATTTGTCTGTTGTTTTTGAATAAAGAAAAGGTCACCCTCCTGCTGTCTTTGGGAAATGAGACACATGTGAGTCAGTGTCCTGTGGCCTTCTATCCTCACGGATCTCCTTCTGTCCTCATGGAAGCCACCGTGAGAAAGGCAGCCTTGTGAGCCCATTCTGCAGATGAGAACACTGAGGCATCAGGCCACTCCATAAAATACCTGCAGTCCTCCAGCCAGGAAAGTTGAACTGGGATTTGGGCTCCGGCTTCAGAGTCTCTGCCCATAGCCGCCGCCCAGTCCTCCCCTTTCCTGAAAGAAAACTTGCCTGTTCTTATGTTTTCCTTTAGGGAAAATCCCAGCTCTGCCTACAGGAGCAATAGCTGGCAGCTGGACTGGCTTTAATGGGAAATTAAAAAATAAACCTAGGCAATTTTAAAGTACCTTCAATTTGGTGACACGTTCAGCTGTTTTCAAGCTGCTTAGAAGTATTATATCCACTCGTGATATAGGAGTCCAGGAGCCTTATAACCAGGGAAACCGAGGCTGGGAGGGACAGAGTGGGCTCATGTCAGAAGTCGGGGGGTCAGAATGAGGCTTGAGCCCCATGCCGCCTTCCCAGGGGCCAGGCTTGGACAGGAAGAGGATTAACTGAGGACTTCGCATCCTCCGAAGTTGAAAGTGTCATGGCCCCAGGGAAATGCAGGGCCCTTGGGCCAGGAGGCTGGGCCTCACCCGCTGGTAACTCATGGCTCTCACTCCCCACCTCCTAGAAGCAGCTGCCCCTTGACCAGATGCTGGCAGCTGGATCCCACAAGGGAAGTGGAATCTGACCCCAGATGAGTCCAGGCCTGGCTGCAGCTGTGAGACCCACCCGGCCACTTGCCAACCTCACCATCTGGGCAGATCACGCCCTGCTAAACAGGCTGGGGGTGGGATGCACGCCACCATGGTGGGGAACGTAAGCTGGGAGCCAACTGCCTGGGTGGGATCCCAGCTGCCTCTGCCTGCTGGGCAGGTCTCATACTGTGAGAATCGATGTCACAACAAGCAAGGCACCTGCCACGTACGGCTCCCGGGAGGATCTGGGGACGGGATGCCTGGGGACCGCCTGGCCTGCTGCAATCCCATGGGCTCCCAGGTGACCTGTGCCAGGACAGACCAGCATGCCGGTCCTCAGCAGAGGGCTGCCACTCTCCTTCACCTCCTAAGGATGGTCATGATGGCCCAAGGCCCGTTCCTGTGAACCCTGGGATGCACCCCAGCGGGTAGGCGCCTCAGTGGCTCTGGGAAGGAGCCCGGGCAGCTGTGCCTGGTTAGGAGGCCTGTGCTGCCAGGCTCTGCCGCTACTATTGGGCCTGGTTCTGGCTGTAACAAAGGAAGGGCTGGCCTTGCTTAAGAACTGGCAGCCCCACCATGGAGCTCCCCGCACCCTGAGGGACAGATGCACAGGCCATGTGGTCCGGTGCACAGGACGATCTCCTGCCCCAGTCTCTGGAGACAGGAAGAAAAGACACAAAATCAAAAATGCGGCCTCAGAGAGGAGGGAAGAGGCGGCTTCTCTGCAAGGGGCACCACATAGGTGGTGCCACGGGGCTGAGACCAGCCCGGTTTCACCATAAATCAGCGTCCCTCTGCATTTCCATCTGTCCTCGAGACCACTCTGCAGATCCCCACTGGGCACCAGCAGGGCCCGTGCCAGCAGCATGGTGTGGGCTGGGGGCAGTTGGCACTTTATCCCTGCGGTGGCTGAGCAGAAGCACCTCTCGGAAGGTCCCCGGTGCCTTTCGGAGCCTCCAAACACACACTGACTGTTGGGGGAGTGATTGGGGGGCTGGCCCTGGCAGGACCTGAGCCTGGCTGGCAGGGTCCTGCCCGGGTGCTGAGAACTCACGTGGCGTTTGTTTTTCAGGAACCTGGGCAAGTCTGGCCTGCGGGTCTCCTGCCTGGGACTTGGTGAGTGTGGTGGTCCCCTCCATCCCACCAGGGAAACGGGCTGTCGGGGGGCCGGACATGGGCTGAACTGGACACCCCTTGGGAGGCAGGGTGGCCCAGCCTTTGGTACTCCCCAGGGAGTAGCTGCACCCAGAGCCCGGGATTGAGGGGGGCTTGGTTGCCATGGCAAAAAAGAGGCAGGTGGGAGGGGGCCTGGGATAGAGGGAGAGAGAGACACAACCTCAGCAGAGGAGGTGAGGCAGATACTAGGGGCCCCTCCATACACGGTCCCCACCCCACACCACAAAATCAGAGGCCCTTCTGGCCCCGGGACTGCAGGGAAGACACCTTACCTTCCACGGCAGGCTCAGCTTACGAGTCCCTCCTAGAGCACCATTGGATTTGGCCCTTTTTCCTCTCCTGTCAGATGCAAGGCCTGTTTCCAGAACGTGCAGTCCCCATCTCCCCTGTGCATGCAGTACACACACCCCACACACACACCGCCCACTGCAGTACACACACCCTCCCCCGACCACCGCCCACTGCCCTGACGCCGCCCTCCCCGCTCCGTCCCAGCAGGAGCACACGGATGCAGCTGTCAGGCCTGGTGTGTTTTCAGAGAGGCGTCCCTTGTGCCTTTCCTTGCAGCATGTGGAGCTACCTCAGCATAGCTCTGACAAGCATTTCAGAAGCCCCAGACCTGCTGGGCCCATAGCCAGCAGCCCGCTCCAGAGACTTTCGTCCCCTCAGTTTAGTGACCCCGAGAGAGCAGGACTTTCTCTGAAGGCCAGGTGTCCACGCACACCAAGGACACCCTGGCCACACAGCAGCACAGAGGGACTCCTGTGGCTGCCCCCTGGGCCCTGCAGCCTGAGGCCTGAGCACCGACGGGAGAATCTGGCTTCCTGCTGGGTCCCTAACTTGAACCCCTGTGTCTCCTTCCAGGAACATGGGTGACCTTCGGAGGCCAGATCACCGATGAGGTAAGACGGGGCTCTCCCAGCACCCCAGAGCCCAGCATGGGCTCGCCAGAGCACATGGTTAAGTCTGCTGCAGGGACCAGTGAGCACGTGCTTCCGGGAGCCAGCGCGGCAGCCTGCCTCCCTCTCTCTGTTTTGCGAGGGTGCCCTGCCCCAGGGGAGAGTAGAAAGGTGAGCCAGGTGGCCGTGGCCAAAGGGAATGCCGAGCGTGGTGCCATCACCCAGCAGGAGACGCCTCGGGCCTCATCATGTCCCTTAAGCTCCCCAGGACTCAGATTTCCCACACGCTTGACCCCCATTCCACAGTTAACGAGGAGAGTTCAGGGTGCACATGCTTCCCAAATGCTGAAGCTGGATGCAGATCCTAGCTGTCCACATGCCATGGAGACTCCAGTAACTATCTGCTGAGGTCATGTGGAATGCAGCCCCTGCAATGCTTGCTGCAAGCTGAAGAATCCGAGATCTGCATTTCACCCAGCATCCACCGTCCATTTCCCAGCTGCCGCGAACCGTGTGGATCGCAGTCAGATGTATTTTGTTGCGGGAAGTCAGGGACCCCGAACGGAACCCCACCTCCGATGTATTTGCTGGGGCTCATGTCCCCACAATTGGAACAAGAAAGTGAACACTAAGGAAAAGCCAGCTTGTATGCTGCCAGCGCCTCTGGGTCTCTCGGAAGGGCAGGGACAGCACACGCCCAGACATGCTTCTGGACAGTGAGGCAGCATCTCAGAAATGAGAGCGGTGGCATTTGCTCAGACAGCTCTGGGCATCTGCACAAGAAGCAATTTTCACGTTTGTCCTACTTAGTACTAGAAAGGTTGCGTTCAAAAATTGATCGGCGAATTGATGCGAGACCTTGTTAGCTGTGATTGCTCAGATTTCCAAGGGAAAGCTTTGCTTCTATGAAAATTTAAATGCATATAGTTTGTGTTTGGGGTCCCTTTTTTTTTTTTTTTTTTTTTTTTTTTTTGAGACGGAGTCTCGCTCTGTCGTCCAGGCTGGAGTGCAGTGGCGCGATGTCGGCTCACTGCAAGCTCTGCCTCCCGGGTTTACACCATTCTCCTGGCTCAGCCTCCCAAGTAGCTGGGACTACAGGCGCCCGCCACCACGCCCAGCTAGTTTTTTGTATTTTTTTAGTAGAGACGGGGTTTCACCGTGTTAGCCAGGATGGTCTCGATCTCCTGACCTCGTGATCCACCCATCTCGGCCTCCCAAAGTGCTGGGATTACAGGCTTGAGCCACCGTGCCCGGCCCACTTTTATCTTTGAGACAGTAGCTGGTCAGGTGCGTTGACTCACACCTGTAATCCCAGCACTTTGGAAGGCTGGGGCGGGTGGATCACCTGAGGTCAGGAGTTCGAGACCAGCCTGGTAAACATGGTGAAACCCCATGTCCACTAAAAATACAAAAATTAGCTGGGCGTGGTGGCAGTTGCCTGTAATCCTAGCTACTCAAGAGGCTAAGGCAGGTGAACTGCTTGAACCCAGAAGGGGGAGGTTGCAGTGAGCTGAGATCATATCACTGCACTCCAGCCTAGGTCACAAAGTAAGACTCTGTCTCAAAAAAAAAAAAAAAAAAGACAGTAGCTGGTTATAGGGTGATTTTCCCCTTGCTTTGAAGTTGCTGGATAGGCGCTATCTCAGGGTGAAGTCTGGAGTTATTAAGGCAAAAGGAATTGCCTTACCTTAGCCCACCAGATTGGTTCATATGAGCCCGGGGGCCCATATGGTTCCATCTGAATCAGCCTTGCCTGACTCGGCCTCGTTTCCCTTTTGATGTGATTTCTAAAGCAGGATGGGAGAATTCTGTAGAAGGGCATAACTTCATTTCCAAACAATATTAGCTGGGTGGCCTGTAATGTCCTTGTGGGAAAGATATAAACAAGCAGACAGACTAGACCCATCCAACGAGATGACGTTTTCACCAGCAAACCAGGTCCCCCTCAGAGCATTAATGAATGGCCCAGTGGCAGCCCCGCTGGCCCAGACCTCTGCAGTGTCTCCATCAGGAACACAGTGATGGACACGTATGAAGATATTGGAGGTCATTTCTAGATGACACCAGGCTAGAAGGACAGAGAATAAAATAGATGGCAGAGATGGGGTTCTGAATGGTTGTGGCAGGTGAAAATGGCTTAGCAAAGGAGCAAGACAAATTTTTGTATTAATCCTACAGTTAGTGTCAAAAAAGAAATCAATACGTCTAGAACAGGGGGCCCACCTGGCTGTGGTTCAGATGAAGAGGATTTGTGCACTTCAGGTCTGTGGCTCAGTCCAAGTCAGCAGGGAAGCAAGGACCGTCCTGGACTGCTTTTTTTGTTTTTCAGTTTTTTATTACATATATGAAACATAAAATTTGCCTTTTTAGCCATTTTTAAGTGTACAGTTCAGTGGCATTAAGTACATTCACATACTGTGCCACCCTGACCAATATCTGTTTCCAAAATATTTCATCACCCCAAACAGGAGCTCTGCACCTTTAGACAATAACTTCCCATCCCCTGGTCACCTCTAATCTACTTCCTGTCTATGAACTCTGCAGGCTATTTGTATAAATAAAGTTTTATTGGGACATAGCCACGCCCGTCATTTACACATAGTGGCTGCTTTCACTCCACAAGGGCAGAGCTAAGTAATTGCAACAGAGACTCTGTGGCTCACAGTGCCTGAAGAATTTACTATGTGGCCCTTTACAGAAAAGGCTTGACGTCCCCTGTTGTATGGGCCGCAGCAGCTGTGCCCTGCAGTATCTGCAGGGTTGTTGTGTGAACAGCAGCTCAGCCAGTTCTGTGCCATGCCAGGGACCCAATGAAAGCTTGCCCAGGGATGGAACAAACCACCTGGTGAGGCAGGAATGACAGCCACCCTCACATGGCACAGGGCAGAGTCCACAGTTTGTAGGACACTGTCACATTCTCAGCCAGTGCTCCCAGGAGCCCATGAAGGGATCAGACCACACTAGGGTCCCTAAGATGACGTGACACCTGTCGGAGCCACCACCACGGTGGTTTCAGGTCTCCAGCCCTCCTGTTGTTAGGTGCCCTTTCTGTGGCCTCACACTCCCCATTAGAAGCATGTGTTCAAGACAAGCCAAACAATAAAAATTTAATAGAAGTAGTGGCTGAGAACCTTACACCTATTATCTCACCTAATCCTCTATCAACCCAGGGAGGCAGGTGCTATTCCCAGTTCAGGGAAGCTGAGCCTCTGGCCATAAACAGGTGCAGGGGTCTCACCTGGCCACTGGCCACGGGGCATTCCACCTGGTGCTCTTTGCCTCAACGCTCGTGGCCAGAGCTCGGCTGTGGGGTGACCGTACTGGGGTAGGGACAGATTCCTTGTTCCCCCAGATGGGGGTGACAGGGAGGTGGCCCATATGTCTCCTGAGCTTCCTTCTGACTTCCGTAACTGGGACCCAGATACTGGAAGGAACAAAAAGTCACAAAATAAAGGCTCCATAAAATGAACCAGGATGCAGCCACAGAGCGGAGGTCTTTAGAAGTCATGTTTTAGGTCTGGGGGCGGTGCCTCATGCATGTAATCCCAGCACTTTGGGAGGTCAAGGCGGGAGGATCACAAGGTTAGGAGTTCGAGATCAGCCTGGCCAATAGGGTGAAACCCCATCTCTACTAAAAATACAAAAAAGTTAGCCAGGCGTGATGGCAGGCACCTGTAATCCCAGCTACTCAGGAGGTTGAGGCAAGAGAATCGCTTGAATCTGGGAGGCAGAGATTGCAGTGAGCTGAGATCGTGCTACTGCACTCCGGCCTGAATGACAGAGCGAGACTCCATCTTGGGGGGGAAAAAAAAAAACAAAAACTCATGTTTTGAAGGACAGCATGGGAAAGGCCCGTGACAGCAAATGGAAAACGCAGCCAGTGTAGACAGCAGCAGCGTAGACAGCAGTCTGTGGAGTAGAGCTTCAGTTTTCTAGGGAAAGGGCAGAAAAACCTGGAAGAAAAATTACAGCAAAATCATAGCCATAAAAACATAAATAAATAAAACAGTGAGAAAGCACAGCCCCACAATGCCGTGAGTCCCTCCCTCTCTTTCCTGCCTCTGGTCCTCCCAGTCCCAGGCGCCACCCTGGATGCAGCTGGAATTGTATGGTGGCTTCGTTTTTGCTGAGGGACAGGTGAGGTTAGTGTCGGTGTCTGCCATGCCGGACCCTGCTGATCCAGCTATCTGCACGCCCTCGGAGGTCTGTGATGACCACAGGTTTCTGTGATTGGTCGGGCTTTCCTCCCCGGAGGAAACCAGGCGTGCCCAGGGCCACTGTGCTCTGGAGTGGAGAGCGCCGAGCCCTTTGTTCTCGTCTGTGAGCAGGAGTGGGAGGCCTCCGGTGGGCAGAGCAGAGCCAGGAGCAGCCAGGTCCCCGCCTCAGGCTTGCGGAGCCCCTGCTTAGCACCAGCGTCCTGCCTGCTCCCAGCCTCTTCCCAGTCACTCTCTTTCTAGAGAGGACGCTTTCTCCAGTGGTCAAACGTGCTGTGGAGAGGGTGTGCACTGCCTGTGGCTGGTGTAACAGATAGCCACCAATGCGCGGCTGAAAACAGCAGCAACGTATTCTCTCATGGCTCTGGGGGCCAGAGATCCAAACTCGGTACCCCTGAACCTAAGCCCAGGAGTCAGCCAGGCCGGGCGCCCTTCTCCAGGCCAGTACCCTTCCTGGCCTAAGCCCAGGAGTCAGCGGGGCCGGGCTCCCTTCTCCAGGCTAGGACCCTTCCAGGCCTCTTCAGCATCCGGCGCTGCTGGCTGTCCTTGACTTGTGCCCACATCCTCCAGTCTCTGACCCTGTGGACACTCTCCCTCCTTCTCTTCTGTCTGTCAAGTCTCCGTCTATCTCGTCCTCATACGGTCACCTGTGATGGCACTGAGGGCCCACTTAGCTAAGCCAGGACATTCTCCCCATCACAGAGTACTCACGTTAATCCCATCTGCAAAGTCCCCGTTTCTACCTAAGGTCACATTCCCAGGTTCCAGGGACCTGATACCTTTGGAGAACCATTATTTAGTTGACTGCAGAGAAGAAAGTAGAAAAAGGACGGCAGGGGGGCGGGGGTCCTGACGACAGGGCAGTCGGGAAGCAGAAGCGAGCAAGGAAGCCACGTGGTGGTCCAGAGAAAGAGCCTTCCGGGGGCCGAGGGGACAACCAAGGCCAAGCCCTAAGGTCAAGTGTTGGGGAGAAGCGGGTTCAGGGGATAGAGTCGGGGGTCAGGGTGCAGCTCTGGTGGGGACTTTGGCTTTGACCTTCTGTGAGATGGAAGCCCCTGGAGGGCTTTTGTATGGAGGAAATTTGACCTGATTTAAAAGGTCTGCCAAGGCTCGCCCTGGTTGCTGCACTGGGAATAGCCAGTCATGAGGGTATCTCAAAGTTCAGCGTGTGCACGATCCGATGCACTTAGAAGGCACATCCTGATGTGGCAGGGCCGTCGTGGAGCCTGGGAGGCCGCATTTCTGATCTCATGCTCATGCTGGCCTACGGTCCACGCTTTGTCTGGGGCAGGTGCAGAGAGAGAGGATGGAAGCAGAGAGCCAGGAGGCTATTGTGAGAAACCAGCCAAGAGCCGCTGGAGGCTCAGAGCAGGGTGGGCACAGTGGAGGTGGGGAGAGGGGTCGGATTCTGGACTAATTTGCTGGGAAGCCACAGCAGTGGCTGAACTTCACGCTCCAGTGATGGGAGGATTAGTCAAGGAGGGCTCCCCGGGGTTTGACCTGAGCGCGGGTGAGTGAGACCTCAGAGAAGCTGATGCTGCTGCGGGCTGCCTCCCTGGCCCACACCAGCCCCAGGGCCTGGAGTGCCCTCCCCGACCCACTCTCCCCTTGCCTGCCTGACAAACTCCTAAACACCCTTCAAAACCCAGTCTTTGTCCGGCACACTTTGGGAGGCTGAGGCGGGCAGATCACTTAAGGTCAGGAGTTCGAGACCAGCCTGGCCAACATGGTGAAACCTTGTCTCTACTAAAAATACAAAAATTAGCCGGGCTTGGTGGCATGTGCCTGTAGTCCCAGCTACTCGGGAGACTGAAGCAGGAGAATCTTTTGAACCCAGGAGGCAAAGGTTGCAGTGAGCCGGGATCATGCCACTGCACTCCAGCCTGGGCAACAAAATGAGACTCCATCTCCAAAAAAAAAAAAACAACACCCAGTCTTGGACATTCTGGACACGTGCTACCCCTTGGATGAATGTTGAACCTTGAGGACATTACGCTCATTGAAACAAGCTACAAAAAGGACAGAGGGTGTGACTGCATTTGTCTAAGGTTCCTAGAGTAGTTAAATTCATAAATACCAGAGAATGGTAGGTGCTGGGACTGGGGGCAGGGAGCAGGGACGGGGAGTTACTGTTCAATGGGTACAGAGTTTCAGTTTAGGAACATAACAGGGAGATGGATAGTGGTGATGATTACACAACTATGCGAATGTACTTACTGGCACTGAACTACGCTTGAAAAAGGTTAAAATAGTAAATTTCATTATATGTATTTTACCACAACTTTAAAAATTCTCTTTGATAAATGCAGTAATGTTTTAATTAAACAAAAAGAATGAAAGGGATCTTCATGAGCAGGTGTGGATTGGTTTCTAGGACGTATTGTGAGTGAAAAAATCAAAGTGCAGAAACATATGGGTAGTGTGCCAGCCCTCCTGGAAGAAAGATGGGGGAGAAGAAAATACACGTGTCTGAAATACAAAAACGGCAAACGGAGCCCTGGGTCCCCTCCTCTGAGAAGCCCTGGCAGGAGCGCGAGTGCCCTAACCACAGGCTTAGCCCCGTCGGAGCCCGGCGCACCGTGCCCTCCTGAGCTCTCTCCTCCTGGGCTTGGTTGTGGGAGGCATCCAGGAAGAGTCAGGAGGAAGTCGAGGAGGAAGCAGTGAGCAGGTGAACAAGCCGCCCTTCTGTCCCTGCTGGAGCCCTGGGGCTGGGAAGCAAAGTGCTAGAGGTGGGGACAGATTCCTGGGCGCTCCCTCAGTGGCTGCATCCGGGAGGAGGAGGCTGGAGGGGCAGAAGCAGATCCCTCTGGCAGTGGATGCATTTGCTGCATGGATGCATTTGATACCTCAGGGCAGTGGAGCTGCAGCAGGAAGACAGCAATGGAGCCCCAGCAGGTGGGTCCTGAAAACCGACGGCCTCCACCCCTGGGCTTCCTGACTCCAATCACAGCCGCTAACTCACCGGGGCTCAGCTTTGGCTGCGTGCATTTCAGCGTCTGAGATGTTTGGGGATGACTGCCAACGTCGCCAGGCTGCCGGCCAGATTTCCATACACCCCCCACCCACAAACATGCGGCCTTTCTGGCTTCTCCTGAGAAGCTGGCAGATCTCTAGCACCAGGCCCGCCTTCCCACGCGCAGCATTGGGCATGGGCCTTCTCCCATGGGTGCCCCCCAGTGGTGGCTACCCCGCGATCCTCACAGGACACTGTCCTCACTCTCCACACCTCCTGGCCACGAGGGCTTCTGAGCTCAGAAAGGAGAGACGCAGCCCTGTGAAGCTGCCCCTGGCGGGTTTTCTGTCCTACGGTGTTTGAGCATATTAAGAATTATTCACCCACACTCCAGCTTGCTGCCAGAGAGGCCCGGTGCTCTGAGCTGCACCAGGGGAAGTGTGACACTCAGGGGGAAGCAGCCCTGTCCGAGGGCCGGCAGCTCAGGGACACCTGTCTCTCCGGCCTCTTGGAGGGAGCTGTCACTTGCAAAGGGGCTCCCCTGGCTCCATGAGTCCCACCTCACGACCAGTTCTTTGCTCATGGAGCATAGTCGCATCCTGACAGCAGCCACAGAGCAAAGTCTGACGGACGGCGGCCCGTTTAGCTCAGGCAGGCATTCATCGATCTTGCCCACGAGGCAGCCACCACTACAGCAGTGTCGCTCGGGGCCGGGAACATGTGCCATTGGAGAAACACTGGCCAAGAGGCTGGAATGGATGTCGCCCGCCATGCACCAGCTGTGGGGCGTCAGTTGCTCCATCTACAAAAATAACAATTCAGTCCTCATGTGCAGGTGCTGGGAAAGATTCAGTGAGATACAACTGAATACACAGCCCTGGCTTTAAGGACATGGACTCATCCCAGCAACGTCCACAGAGCCCCTGCTGGGGACTGCCTTGGTTTCCTAGGACTGCTGTAACAAAGTAACAAACCTGGGGAACTGAAACAACAGACCCATGTTCTGTCACCTTCTGGAGGCCAGAGGTCGGATACCAAGGTGTCGGCAGGGCCAGGTTCCCTGCAAAGGCTCTGGGGGAGGGTCCGCCCCATGCCTCTTCCAGCTTCTGGGGGTTGCCCACAGTCCTTGGCTTGTAGACGTGTCACTCCGGTCTCTGCCTTCATAGTCTCATGGAGTTCTGTGTCTGCATTTTCTCTTGTAAATCACCAGTCACATGGGGTTTAGGAGCCACCCTAACACAGTACAACCTCATCTTTGCTAATTACATTCAAGAAGGCCCTATTCCCAAATGAGGTCACCTCTAAGCTTCTGAGTGGACATGAATTCTGTGGGGATACTGTTCAACCCAGTACAGGTGCTAAGCCCTGTGATGACCCCACCTGATGGGGTCCCTGCTCTCAAGAAATTCACAGTCCTCGGCAGTTTCTTCATTCCTTTTGCCTTCTTTATTCTTCTCAGTGGGTTTGTTACTGAGAGCTGCCTCCATCCCTGGCCTGTGGCAGGAGAGGGCAAGTAGAGAGCCCACAGGGGAGCCTGTCGGGCCCCGGGAGGCAGGGCCTAGACACAGGGAGGCCTCCCAGGCCAAGAGGGTGGTGCTCAAGAGCCTCTGAGCCCCACTCCCGGCTGGCAGGACAGTGCTGGTTTTCTCGTTTCAGATGGCAGAGCAGCTCATGACCTTGGCCTACGATAATGGCATCAACCTCTTCGATACAGCAGAAGTCTACGCAGCCGGCAAGTATGTGTCTTTTCGCGTGGGAAAAAGTGGTGCAGAATACCTGGGCAGAGCCGGAGCTGCAGGGATTCCTGCCACTCACGTTCCCAAGAGTGCTCACAAATGCACCTTGCGCCCTGCTTTCATTTTTAAACTCTGAATGGCTTTAGGAGGTATTATTTTCACGGGGCTGGAATTGCAGAACGCTTGGACACTGGTCACTTGCTGAACTCCCCATGGAGTCACCAGGGGGACCACAGTCCCTCCGGTGCCAAAGATGCTGTGCTGGGTGAGAGGCACGATTAAGCTGCTGTCCTGGGCTCTCTTGATGTGCCTGACGTTTTGACATTTCATGTCTCACTAGTGCAATTAGGGCTGCAGGGCCTGCAGGGCCTCAGAGCTAGGGAGGGCAGGCTCCGGCCGAGTGCTGTGGGGAGCACTTCCCATCTTGGCAGTGAACTTTCCTGCTCAATTATGTAAAAGCTCAGCCCTCTTCAGCCAGGCTGTTGGCTTCAGTTTTAAAGACTGGCTGTAATCAAATCATCCACTCTTCTGCATTGGGTTTCCAGAAGTCAGCTTTTGTTTGTGAAATCATTTGTTGGCCCTCTCTTCATCCTCCTTCTGCCCCCCTCCTGCCTGGGGCCAGCCAAGTTCCTGTCGTCCGGGCAGGCTGCAGGCCTGGGCTGCTGTGCACCGTAGCTGCTTGGCCCGCAGCTGTTTTGTGGGCCCTAGTGGGTTACCTGCAACTGCAGCGGGGCCCAGAGCATCCGATGGCAGGGAACCCAAGTGAGCCCTACTCAAGTTCCCACCCAGAGCCTGGGGAGCACACAGCCCTGGGGGCTGCCGCCGGGCCCTCAAACTGCCTCCAGCCCCCATCTGCAGCCCTTTTGGCCCTCCTGATGGCACAGCCCCCTCCCGCCCCCTCCAGACTGGCAGCAGCTTCCCATCAAAGTGAACCGCTTTCCAGACAGATGAGCCCAGCAGAGGGGTCTGAGGTGAAAAAGCCCAGTGCAGATGCCAAGCCGAGAGGCACCTCCCGTCCCGAGCCCCACACCTCTTCGCTGCCTGCTTTGGCCTGGGTTTTGCTGCCCAGAAGAACGTGTGGGAGGCAACTCTGTGCAGCCCCGTGGATGGGGCCAGGCACACCCCATGTCACAGCAGCCACACTCCGTCCTCTGTCACTCGCAGTTTCCATGTTCCCCTGTTTAACTGGACACCCAGAGCTGGTGAGCTGGGCAAGTTCACTGGGTCTCCAGCAGCCACGGGCCTCTCAGAAGCCACTTGCCGGAAGGCCAGGGAGTCAGGGAGCAGCTTCCCCTTGGGTCACCATTTCTGTGGGATCCCCTGCCCGTCTGCTCCGGGGCCAGCCACTGCGGTCCCTCAGTCTAGCTCAGAGCTGAGCCTCCGGTGGACGCCCATCAGTGCCCTCACAGGGGACCCGGGCGCTGCGTGCCAGGGATAGGCAGGAAGAAACTGCTTTGGGGAGTTCGGGGGAGGCCGAGAGGCAGCTCGCAGGAGGCCAAACCCTTATCTTCCCGAGGCCTCCTGCTTCTTCTGACACTAATTTGCATACTTCTCGGAGAGCTACAGGATTTCTGTGTCCCGCGAACAGGTGTGAGTCCTACCAAATTCACAGCCAGAGCCACAAGCCACAGGCTTAGGTAACTCACTGTCTGCTGCTCCTCTGCCCCTGGGATCACTGCCAGCTTTTCTCTCTTCCTCCTCCTTTCCTGATCCTTCGTTCGACAAATCAGGGACCAAGGAATAAAAGGAAGAGGCCTAGGGCTGAGTGAATTTTCTGTGCGTCTTGACCATAAATGAGGAGCATTCAGAGCGCATGCTAAACAGCTTGCAAATCAGAGCCCATTATTTCTGAGTGGATGACTCAGGCGCTTTTATAATTGGAATGTAGCACAGAGTACGGATCATTCTCCGTCTGTTGTTTTGCTCAGAAACATTTTGCTACAAGCAGAAAGTTCTTCAAAGTTAATCCAGTGCTGCAGTGCCAGGCGAGGCTACAACGGCCGCCCATGCCCCCAGCTGGCCTGAGTTTGGTGCAGGACCCGGAGTGATGCCAAACAGGACAGACAGTGGTCTGCCTAGCATCTGACTCTCTGCCGTTCAACGCAGGAAATGAGAGGGACACGTGCACCCACACACGTGCACCCATGTACACACACACACACACAAGCATGCACATCTGCTGGAAATCCAGCCCTTGACCCTGAGTACATGTTGATTGTCTCTCAAAACAAGAAGATGTACTTGATGAATAATTTACCTTTAAAATAAGATACTTGGCCGGGCACGGTGGCTCATGCCTGTAGTCCCAGCGCTTTGGGAGGCCAAGGTGGGTGGATCACTCGAGGTCAGGAGTTCGAGACCAGCCTGGCCAACATGGTGAGACCCCATCTCTACTAAAAATACAAAAATTAGCTGGACGTGGTGGCGTGTGCCTGTAGTCCCAGCTACTCGGGAGGCTGAGGCAGGAGAATCTCTTGAACCCAAGAGACAGAGGTTGCAGAGAGCCAAGATCTCGCCACTGCACTCCAGCTTGGGTGACAGAGCAAGACTCTATCTCAAAAAAAAAAAAAAAGCAAGATACTTGTGTGGAAATTTTGCCCACCTAATGTTGCCAGGCATTTTCCCTTGTGAATTTTCAGCTGACTAGGAAATGGGATGCTGGCCTTGCCAAGCTCGATAGCAGCTCCTTCCTTCTCTGTGAGAGCTGGGGCCGCCACTGTTTAGACATGCGTCTGCAGGGGAACATGCCACAGCCATCCTAGTGGGGAGCAGTAACACAGCTGCTCCCGCCCCCTCGGGCCAGCCCTCTCTCTCTGGAATGAGCTACTGAGCCAAGGCGGGTGTTAACAGCCTGGCTCTCTGGCCCCAGTGGCATTTTCACAGAGGGAACCAAGTGGCCAGTGGCCACAGTGGGTCTGGGTTTGATTTTTCTGTTTGGCCGTGATGAGATCTCGGTGTCTTGTTTTGCAGGGCTGAAGTGGTACTGGGAAACATCATTAAAAAGAAAGGATGGAGGTAAGGACCCTGCTCTCTGCGGTCTGTCCCTGGGGTGGGTGTGGGCGAACTATCCCAGGGTCAGCCTCATCAGCCCATTGTGCAGTGTTGTAAGGCCTGCAAGTCTTCACATTTTTCTTGCTGGGAAGTGGAGAGGAAAATTCAGTTCTCCAAGAGGAGGAGGTGACTCTGCTTGAGAAAAAAGTTGAAGGGAGGCTGAATACACTGTCTACCCCCACCCTAGCGTGCCCACTTCGCCTGTCCCAACTCACCCACAGAGACCCAGAGCACTAGGGTCCCTGCTTGCAAACTGTCGGGCCAAAAAGAGCTCGGCGTGAGAACGGGCCTGGGTACAGCAGAGGGGTGCTGCTACAGATGGGGGTGCAAAGCCCTTTCACCTCTTTGGCTGGAGCACTTAGGGTCAGGGGAGCCAGGGGGCCAGAGAGGGGAGTGGCTTAGAGAGTCTGGGGGCCCCGGAGTTGGATCCCACCCTGCACCTTGTCCACGAGACCTTCGCGGCGTCTCAACCTCTCCGGAGCTCACTGTTCCCATCTGTAAGGGTGTGTGTAGGGGACCTTCCCGGCAGGGCTATCCCGAGGGTCAGTGGCCCCAAGTCTGTAAATTACCCACCACCCAGCTCAGGCCAGGACGTGTCACACTCGCCTGGGAAGTGGTCCCCTCCAGCATAGACTGGGGAGCGGTCCCTGGGTGTGATGGGGCCCAAAGGTCACAGATCGGGGGCCATCCACCCTTCTCTCCCAGGAGCCTGTGGGCCTTTCCCAGGCCAAGGTCCTCACCCACCTTGGGACCAGTCGGGCTGAGCACTTGCCTACATGTTGGGGCTCCCCAGACCCCTGGACACAGCTTTATTTGAAGGTGCTGACAAGCCCCAGGGCCCTGTTTCTTAATAAATGTTTCTTTATTTTCAGAAACATGAGAAGCAGTTATAAAGTTGGGCTCTCTCCTCCCTCCCCTCCCAGTGCCACTCAGAATCCCAGTGTCATTTGTTGAGAAGCCCCCACCCCCTCCCCCATGGATTCCTAACACCCCTTCCTCTTGCCCCATCAAATTTGTTTTTTGGCAACTCTAATCCCAAAAGAAATTCCTCCTCACCCTGTAATTAAAGGAAATTGCACATATTAGCAAATCCCCTGATCATGTCTTTGGCAAATGCGCATGGAGGTGGTGTGGGGTGGTCTCTCTTCCTGGAGGTGACGCTGCCCCTGCCAGAGCTCTGTGGCCGATGCTTCGGGGGCAAAGGAGGCCTCCTGCTCCAGCCTCCTGAGCTGCTTCCCTGAGCAGCCCGGGACCCGGGTGGGAAAGCAGCTCAGCTATGGGGAACCAGGAGGTCATTGTCACCCCCTGGGTGGGGAGTATTCCCTCCTCTGGGAGGGGTCAAGGTCAAATGTGGCCGGGAGAGGCCATCATTATCCCCCATCCCACCAGGACAAAGCCACTTGTATGGGCATTTGTCTCCTGTGGACTTCGAGCAGAAGAACGAATTACTTCCCTTTGCGCTGCTCAAGCCCAAATCCTCAAGGTTCTCTGCCTCAGCTACTCAAACCCAGAATCCCATTGGCCTGGCCACACTTGGGCTCCCTATACCTCCCCTCCCTCCCTAGGTGCCTCCCAAGTTACCCTGACCGCGCGGTCCCACGCAGATTTTCTGCAACAGGCGTCACATTCTGTAAGGAATGTTGCAGAGAGCTTCCCTGGCTGCCTTCCACCCTCATCTTTCCATCCTCAACTCCTGCCAGATCCCCCCAGAGCCCACCCCTGCCCCTTGGCCCACACCTTGGCTCTTGCTGCTTCCTCTACCTGGACCAAATCCCTGCACCCCTCGTATTCCCTGAGCCAGGCCCCCTCCCACATCCTGGGCGGAAGGCATCTCCTCCGGGCTCCGGTCACACTGGGCCCCCCACTGTCCAACTCCCACTGCCTGACTCACAGTTACTGCCTCAGTGGCTGCCTCCTGGCTCCATGAGGAGCCCACGCATCCAGGCTTGGCACGTGGTACACACACATCAAATGATGGAGAAGTGCCCATTTCATGCCCCGGGCTCCCAGGCGGGAGGGCTTTCAGGACCTGTGTGAGAGATGAGGACGTCGTGAATGAAGGACCCCCCAGGGGCCGGGCCCTATCACACCTCTTCGTTCTCTTCTTTCCCGCAGGCGGTCCAGCCTCGTCATCACCACCAAGATCTTCTGGGGCGGAAAGTAGGTGCAACAGCTGGCGATGCTTCCAGCCCTGGCCCAGCAGCCACGGTCCCACGGTCCCTAGAGACCCCTGACCTAGAAGGCTCCCGGGGTGGGGAGAGGACAGTCCTGCTTCAGAAAGGAGAGTGGTCGGGGTCTGTCCTGGTCAGGCCCCGGCCCAGTGCCGCTTCCCGTCCCCAGCAGGGGCAGAGCTGACATTTCTGCAGCCACCAGCTATGCCTGGTGCCCGTCCCTGTTAAGGGACGTCAAATCCAGAAAAGTAGCTGTGGCTGAGTTTGCCTTTTACAAAAACCTCGCTTAACTTTTCTTTTTACTTACATGGATTATTTTTTCCTGGTCACTATGGTAACGTCATAAAAATTATGGAAAACACAGAAAATCTGTGAACTGCCCAAACCCCCAAACCACTCCAAATTCCCTGGGCTGCCTGTCGTCACCCGTGCAGGTCTCCAAGTGTCTAGCTCCGTAGTTTGTGGGCTGGACACACTTGGGCTCATAGGAATTATGACTATGATTCATTTTTTCTTTCTTTTATTTTTTATTTATTTTTATGTATTTTTTTGAGACACGGTCTCGCTTTGTCGTCCAGGTTGGAATGCAGTGGCACGATCACGGCTTACTGTAGCTTCAAACTCCTGGGCTTGAGCGCTCTTCCCACCTCAGCCTACAGGCATGTTGGCCACCATACCTGACTAATTTGTCCTTTTTCTTTCTTCTTTTTTTTTTTTTTTTTTTTTTTGAGACAGGGTCTCACTTTGTCACCTAGGCTGGAGTACAGTGGCGTAGTCCCAGCTCACTGCAGCCTCAGCCTCCTGGTTCAGGTGACTCTCCTGCCTCAAGTAGCTGGCTCTATGGGCACATGCCACCATGCCCAGCAATTTTTATATATATATATATATATATTTTGTAGAGATAGGGTTTCATCATGTTGTCCAGGCTGGTCTCAAACTCCTGAGCTCAAGTAATCTGCCCACCTCAGCTTCCCAAAGCACTAGGATTGCAGGCGTGAGCCACCACGCCTGGCCTTAATTTGTCCTTTTATAAGATATGGGGTCTCACTATGTTGCCCAGGCTGGTCTTGAACTCCTGGACTCAAGTGATCCTCCTGCTTTAGCCTCCCAAAGTGCTGGGATTACAGGCATGAGCCACTGTGCCCAGCCTGATTTGTTCTTAATTTAAAAAATAAAAATAAAAAGTCCAAATCAAACACACGGGTTAGGTTGAAAACCAAAAGCCCCCTTTCCCCTGCTGCTGCCCGCCTCCCCTCTGAGCCCTGTGACCAGGCCTGCCGCGGGCCTCTGGGAGTTCAGCCCTGCAGCCTCGGGTACCTACCCCCAAAGTGGAATCCGACCCCACACGGCATTTGCTGACCCCATTTTTGCGCCTAACATTGCATCATAAACGTTTCCTGGGAGGGGCTGGGGTGCCGAAACCGCTGACAACATCACACATGGTCGGCCTGTTTTCCAGGGCGGAGACGGAGCGGGGCCTGTCCAGGAAGCACATAATCGAAGGTGAGGACGCACTCAGGCACCTCAGGGCCCCCACACCTGTGGGATTGTCCTCGGAGGCCAAAGTGAAAGCAGCACAGAGCCTGACCCCCCAAGTTACCCAACCAAGGGCCCCATCCCGGGGCACCCGGTGCTCTGGCCTGACCCCCTCCTTCCACCCGGGCAGCACAGGGGGACCCTGCAGGGAACAAGGGCGCCCGGTGGCTGAGCACAGACCACAGACCAGCCTGGGTTTCAATCCGGGTTCGGCCCCGCACGGGCTGAGTGGGGGAGCACCCTGCCCCACGCCTCTGCCACAGTATCTGTGCAATAGGGACAGTAAGAGTGCACCCGGCGAGGGTGGCTGGGATGCCCACAGCGCCCAGGAGAAGGTGCATGCCACACAGTCCGGGGCTCAGCATTCGTGGGCACCGGAGCAAGGCACCGGGCTGTCTGGCTCTTGCTGTATTTTTATTGTCTTCATGCCTTTCCTATCTGTGTTCATTTTCTTCAAGGTAATAGATCATTCCATTGAAAATCACTCAGGGGGCCAGCCACCCGCTCCCCGTCCTGCCCACCCCAACCCAGTGTTTCACTCTGCCAGCTGTGTGTCCTGAGCTGCTCTAAGCACGAGCGGGTGGCTTGGGCGTTTTAGACACTATTGCCATTGTTTTTGTTTTTGCTTTTGAGATGGAGTTTTGCTCTTGTCGCCCAGGCTGGAGTGCAGTGACACGATCTTGGCTCACTGCAACCTCCGCCTCCTGGGTTCAAGCAATTCTCCTGCCTCAGCCTCCTGAATACCTGGGATTACAGGTGCCCGCCACCATGCCTGGTTAACTTTTTTTTTTTTTTTTTTTTTGTATTTTTAGTAGAGACAGGGTTTCACTATGTTGGTCAGGCTGGTCTTGAACTCCTGACCTCAAGTGACCCACCCGCCTTGGCCCCCCAGAGTGCTGGGATTACAGGCATGGGCCACCATGCCTGGCCACAGACAGTATTGCTTTTGATGGGATGGGCAGCCAGTGTACCCCTCCCTCCACGTGCGATGGATATCGTGATCCCCCTGTTGTAACACAGAGTGACCTCAGAGGAGGGCATGTTGTCTGGGGGAGGAGGCGCTTCCCCTTCATTTAGTCAAGGACATGTGGCCTGTGGTCCCCCGACGTCCTCCTGCAGGGGAGACTCCCCCCACTCCCTGTGGGATGTGCCCCCACCTCTGCCGTAGCATTTCACGACCTCCATCAGCTTCTGGAAGCTTCCAGATGCCAGGGGCCTCTTAGCCGTCTCTTGTTCCCCGAGCCGGGCATGGACAGGCCCAGGTGCCTGTGGAGATGCAGCCACAGCAGTGACGCCCCCACCCGGTCCTCCCCCAGGTCTGAAAGCTTCTCTGGAGCGACTGCAGCTGGAGTATGTGGACGTGGTGTTTGCCAACCGCCCGGACCCCAACACCCCGATGGAAGGTAAGTGGTCTGCGGCAGCGCCACCGGTCAGACCTGGGTGGTGTCCGAAGGGTCTGAATCTGAGGTTGTAGAGACCACCAGCATGGGTCCTGCTGGGCACCCGGGTGAGCCGTGAGAGGGGGCCAGGTCCAGGGTGGGGGACAAGGGGGCAGGCCTCCCCTCAGTAGGGGTGAGCTCAGCCTCTGGCTGCCGACCCCCAGCCAAGTGCACCCGGCACCTCCAGGCTGAGTCCCTGTCCTCGCTTTGGACCCAGGCCGATCTGCCCTCCCAGTAAGAGCCACAGCGGAACTGTCCCCTCCCCGCTGCGGCTGTTTTGCAGCTAAGTGAAGCTGCAGTGTGGGGACTCCGACTGTGGTGTTCTCTCCAATCACGACCCATTGGGAAGCTTGGGGGGTCTTTTGTGCTCTGGGGAATAAATTACTACATAGAGGAGAAGAAACGTTCAGCACTTTGAAAATCGGTTTTGGTTACTTTGGCGTTTTTTATTCTTTCTACTCCTGAGATCTCAGCCCCTCCGCTCGCCCATCCTCCTGCTACAGGTGTCTTTCCACGTGTGCTTTGCTGCTTCAGGGACTTGAAAATTAAGTTGTGTTCCAGTGTTTTTTGTTTATTTGTTCATATACAGCACGCACGTGTGTGTGTTGTTGTATTTTTTCCTTTTTAACTACACGCGTGTTCTGCGCGGTGATTTGTGCCTCCCCGCTGTGCCTTCGTCGTGCCACTCCTCTCAGTGCTCCCAGCTATCAACTCTGGTCTCTTTAAATCTTTCTTTTATCACCAGGGGACCCATTTAGTTCCTCCAAGTCAAGGACATTCATCATAGAAGGTACACAGTGCCCCCAGCCTGACTATTGACTTCTGCGTCCAAGCTGCATTTTATGAGACAGTATTTTTATTTACATGATTCTTTCACCCCATGACAAACTTCTCCATAAAATGCATAAAGAGGGGAAAGAGCGCCCTATGAGAACACCTTGCAAGTGAAGGAAAAGCAAAGTGGTGTTGGAGCCCCTCGCCCCCAGCCCTCCGCCCCCCGTCCCCTCGTTCCTCCTTCCTCCCGTGCATGGCCCCCACCCCTGGGCTTGCACTGCTGAGCTCTGCGGCGGCCGGGGGTCCTCTTGATCTGATGCTGTGATCCCCACCTGGAGCCTTGACCCTGGATGGTGCCATGGGAAGAGTTGGGGAAGACCAGGTTTCCACAAGGAACAAAGCCGTCAGGGACCCCAGAACACGCAGCCCTCCACCGAGTCTTAGCTCCTCCATAGTTTGTGTTTGCTAAGCTCCTGTCTCTCCTGGAGGCAGAGATCACCTGGCTTGGCACGCTGCCCTGTCCACAGCACGCTGCTCCTCGGGCAGCATGCTGGCTGCGTGTCGCCTCTCACCAGGAGGCCAAACCTCTCCATCAACATGGAGTCATTTTCCTCCTGAAAGAATAACCACAGGAGCTGAAACCAGGGGGCGGCCTCTGGCCACGCATGGTCTCTCTGCCCTCCCCACAGCTAAGGGCCCCAGGAACCCACCCCAAGGGCAAGCGTCGGTCTCCCTGGGCCCGGGCCCCCGTCTGCCAACTGGTGCTGCCACCTGACCCCCCATGTATTGTTTGTGATGCGGCAGGAGATGCTGTGGGTTTTGGCAGCAGCTAGAAGGATTCAGTCCTCCTACTTCTGTTCAACCACATTAAATATGGAGGTGAAGGACAGTTGTCCCCTAATTGTCCCTGGGTCTGGGGCCACTGATACCACGCTTGGGCACAAGCGCAGGGTGCTCCCTCGTGTGGGCGCCCTGTCCAGCCTGCTTCTGCCCAGATCCTCCAGGGAGCCCAGGGGTCTTTGCCTCAGGACAGCCAGAGACTCCTGCCCCGTCAGCCCCATCTCCCCATCGTTGCATGGAAGGGGGGCTGCAGGGCAGCCTGCGGTTTCACTGGCTGGGACCTTGGGGACCTGAGACAGCTGCCGGGAAGGGAGAGCGAGGGAACAGGGCTGGCCGTGGGGGCCTTGGCTTCCCTCTGTCTAGCAATGTCTAGCATGTGGACCCAAGCCTTGGCTGAAAAGAACTGGGTACTGACGCTGCATGTTCACAGGTGCCCCGAGAGTGTTTCTAAAAAACCACAAGGCCGGCCAGGCCAGGACCCGGACCTGGGTAGGATGTAGTCAGAGATTCTCCTGGGACCCTCTGGGTTCTCCTGAAACTTTCCCAACCAGGCACTTCCTGCGGGTCTGTCGGTGTTGGCAGTTAAAGCAGGTGGCCCAGGGAGGTGGCCCGGAGAGTTCAGACTCCCTCCCAGATCTCACCCCCAGGAGGGGACGGAGAGGATTCCCAGGAGCCACAACCTCTGACCTTGGAAGGAAGCAGAGAGCAGGGCTGGGCCTGCAAGCGCCGAAGCCAAGGGTGGTTTGCCAGGGGTCCTGGGTGAGTCTGCCGAGACCACCGCTCCAGAAACTCCAGTGGCCTCCGCTCTAGCCTTCAGGAGGCCCCAGGTTCTGCTCAGGGTGGACCTCAATAAAGGGGTGCTCAGGGAGCGACCCCCAAAACAGAAGGGGATGGGAAGCCAGCGCTGCCACTTTGTGGCCTCGTTGCCATTCCGAGGTGGAGCCTGCAGAACAAACCCAGCATGTTCCGTCCTTCCTTCCTTCCCAACGGGCCCACTCCCAGCATTTTCAGGACCTCAGCTTCCACGCAACATGGGCAAAGGACAAGCAGGCACTTAGGGAGAGCCGGGGCTTTTCCAGGGTCAACGTCGTTGCTGTTTTTAGAAACACTTGCACTCCCACTCACTCCCACACTGCCTTTGGCGGTCGAACTTGCAAGCACTGTATCCGACCCGTGAGAAGCCTAGCGCCATAGTCCCTCGCCCGGCAAAGCTAAGAGGCTTCTGAAATTTGAAATCTTGAGGCCGAGTTCTGTTTTTAACATCACAACATCCCCATGAGGCTGAGAGGGAGCTACAACTGGCAGATGGTTATGTCTCAAAAACATTTTTGAATACTGGGAAGAATCCGCTGGCACTGGGGTGAGGGTCCTTCCTCTCTTCTTTAGAAGGCCAGCGTGGAGTCTCTGCGATTTCGTCCTCAGGCCTTAGGAGTCTCTGCCATCCATGATTCAGGTCGTTCCCAGGGCTTGTGGAGCCTCAAAACTGTCCTACTCCAGGCCTGGGCCCCTTACAGGAGCAGCACCCAGAGCCCTGTGGCCCTGGGACCACCCCTTGCCGGGGAACAGGCGGGCTGGGACTCTGGCCTGGTGCTGGGCTGGTTTGAGAACCTGGGCCGTGGTCTCACAAGGCTTTCTACGCCCACTTCTCAGTCTCCTGGACATGAGAGGAAACATGAGCTCAGCCCCGAAGCCCTATTCTCTGGGACCATACAGTGTCCCAGGTCCTGCCACATCTCCTTATCCAGCGCACTCTCTGTTCCAATGAGACTTTGGAATAGCCCGAAGTAGGAGACCAGAAACGCAAAAACACGCGTCCCTCCTGCCGCCAATCTGACTGTAACTTTCATGCATTCACCTGGTCCTTCCTGAGTGATCGGGGCCCTCGAATCTTCCCCAGACCAGAGAACCCCCAGTTCTAGAGTCCGGAGCCAGAGCCACATTCTTTGATGTCCCCTCTAATCTGCCATAGAAACATCACGGTCCATCCATAACCCGTTTTTCAGCATTTCCATAGGCCTGTAACCAGTCGGGGAAATTGTTTTCACAATCTTCTAGGATTGTGGTTCACTTTTCTCTCTCATCCCAAAAAACCCCTCCCACCCCCAACTTCGGAGCCACGAAGTACACTGCTTGCAAGACATCTTCGCAGCCCCTGTCCCTCCTCCCAGCGTCCCGCCTGTATTCGCAGAATGTCCTGAGGCTGGTCCTGAGCCCTGGCCGCCCCCCACCTGCGGTTTCCCCTTCTCTCACGACAGAGACGGTCCGCGCCATGACCCACGTCATCAACCAGGGGATGGCCATGTACTGGGGCACGTCACGCTGGAGCTCCATGGAGATCATGGTATGGCGGCTGCGAGGCATGTGTGTGTCCAGGCACAGGCTCCCGGCACAGGCTGCATATGGAGACCCCAAGGCTCTGGCGGGGTCTGTGCCTTTGGTCCCAACTGCACCGATGCCTGGGTGCTAAGGGAGGGACAGGATGGTGTTATGTCTGCAGGCCTTGCAGACGGCGATTCCGCATGGATCCCAGTGCTGTGTGGCCCTGGACAAATGGCTTAACCTCTCTGAGCTTGTTTACCCACCTGTAGAACATGCCTGCTAGGCAAGTCCTCATGGGGCCATTCTGAGGAATCCCTGAAAGAGCCAGTGTGAGCTCTTAGCAGATGCCCTGGAGCTCAGCAAGCACTCTGGGGTGATAACACTATCAGCCATTTCCACTGGGCTCCTAGGACGTGCCCAGTGCTGTCAGGTTCAAGGGTTTCACAGGGACCCTCTCACATGCAGTCCTCACAGTGCTTTTACCAGGTGAGTGCCGCAGGCAGCCCATTTTTCAGATGTGGACACTGCGGCACAGAGAGGTTCAGTAACATGCCAACGTCACACAGCTTGGGCCAAGATTAACGTGCAGGCTGTGTGGTTCAGAGCCTGGGGTGCTCATAACTGGACCCTCTGGCCTGGGGGTCCCACCACCCACCTCCTTTTCCCAGCTCACCAGGGCCTCGCTGGCTCCCAGGGAAGCTATGAGTGTGAGCGGTGGGAAGCCCGGGCTGCAGCTGCTGGGCCCGCCTGCTCCGGGGACACCTTGGTGCCCTCTCCCTGGCTGCCCGGCACCCCCCACCTGCTCACGGGCAAGGCCTTCGGGGCCCCTTTCTGCCTTCCCAGGAGGCCTACTCGGTGGCCCGGCAGTTCAACCTGACACCGCCCATCTGCGAGCAGGCTGAGTACCACATGTTCCAGCGCGAGAAGGTGGAGGTGCAGCTGCCGGAGCTGTTCCACAAGATAGGTGGGCACCCTTGGGCCCCTCGCCCCGCCCCCACCCCCCTTGGACCCAGGGCTTGACTCCACCTGCTTTTCCTCTTCAGGAGTGGGCGCCATGACCTGGTCGCCTCTGGCCTGTGGCATTGTTTCCGGCAAGTACGACAGTGGCATCCCACCCTACTCAAGAGCCTCTTTGAAGGTGAAGGGACAGCCTGGGGGGAGGGACGGGCAGGGACAGGCATTTTAGAGGGGTGGGACCTTTGGGCCAGCTGCTTTGGTGCTGGCCAGGGGTTCCAGGGGCCACAGCTGCTCCCACCTCGGTCTGCGGGGGGCGGGCTCCTTGGCGTGAGAACATGGAGCCCCTTCTAGCCTGACCCCATGTGTAGAGGGGCTGCCCAGCCTGTGGCACAGGCCCAGGTGGAAAGGCCCTTTCACATCCCCCCCTCTGCCCCCACCACATCCCCCCACCTCTGCCCCCCACCACAGCCCAGCGTTCAGAATTCCACCACCACTGAGAACCCTGGGCCTGGGCTCCAGGATGGGGGCTGCAGA